TATAATTCCTGACATGATGTAAACACTTTATAAATAATTGCTATACTGTAATGCTTAGGGGTAATGAGAAGGAAAATAACCTGTACATGTTTGGTTTAGACACATTGCTTTTTTCAAGTAATTTTCTGATCCATGGTTGGTTGAATTCAGGTGTAGAACCATTGCTACAGAGGACTGAGTATAGATTTAGATTTCTACATTTTGTTGAAAAAAACATTGATTTAATGTTTTTTGTTTGGATTTAATTTTGTTATGTTGAATTCAGTTCAAAGTCTGTAAAGAGAAGATTTTTCCTTGAGAGAAGCCTTCCCGCCAGCCTGGTTCTAGAGCCGCATCAATCCCAAATAAACACACAAGACGCTGTATTAATTATGAAGCTGTTGGCCTTGCTTGTTTCTTACTGGCTAGCTCTGACTTAAGTAATTACCCCATAATTGTTAATCTAAGTATGCTTCTTACCGGAGAAGTTTCCGGGCTTCCTACCCCATGGCGTTACATCTAGACTCTCTGTGTTTCTCCTTCCCAGAGTCCTCTTGGACTCCTAGTCCCACCTATCTAGATTCCTATTGGCCAGCAGTGCATTATTGACAAATGCACAGGACTCCCCCCAACAAAAGTCCACTTGAGTTTTCAACACAACCAATCAAAGAGTCTCCTACATTTTACAAATTTCTGAGACCTGATTTGTCATGGTTTTTCTTACACATTCTAGAACCCAATTCTAAACCATTCTTTACTACAGGGTTGAGGTAGCTTTATCACATTCTCTCTTGACTATTCTCTCATAATTATAGGGATTTACTTAAAAATAATAAACAATAAATTAGTATTTATTATAATAAATGGAGAGTTATTGTGGTTTTTGAAGTGTATGAACCTACACATTACCCTTTAAAATTATAGCCTTTCTCATTTGTGAATATAGTACAATTGTCTTTATGTGCTACCCAATTTTATAGTTGTTTTTCATTTTTGTGCATTTATTTGTGTGTGTGTGTGTGCGTGTGTGTGTGTGTGTGTGTGTGTGTGTGTGTGTGTGTGTACATGTGAGGCTCAGAGAGCTTCTTGTGAGAGTTAACTCTTTTCTTCCATAGTGTGGGTCCTGGGGATGGAAGTCAGATCACCAGGTTTGGTGGCAAGTGCCTTAACCAATGTGCTGTGTTACCCACTGCTTTTATAGTCTTAGCAGGAGTCTGTATTTTTTTTTTCTTTTTTCCTTTCCAAGACAGGGCTTCTCTGTATAGCTTTGGAGCCTGTCCTGAAACTCGCTCTGTAGATCAGGCTGGCCTCAAACTCACAGAGATCTGCCTGCCTCTGCCTCCCAAGTGCTGGGACAAAGAGCCTCACCAAGTCTGTATTTCTTTTAATTTTTTATTTTTTTATGTACACAGTGTTCTGCCACATATATGCCTGCAGGCCAGAAGAGGGCACCAGATCTCCTCACAGATGGATGTGAGCCACCATGTGGTTGCTGGGAATTGAACTCTGGACCTCTGGAAGAGCAGCCAGGGCTCTTAACCTCTGAGCCATCTCTCCAGGCCCAAGTCTGTATTTCTTAACACAGTGCCACACTTCCTATTAAACTTACTCCAACATATCAGATTCTTTTTTTTCTTTTAAATAATTATACATACATTATATGTCATAGTTGTTTATTACACTCAACTTTATATTTATGACATGGTCACTAGCCATAGGCAGCAATTTAAATTTGTTAATCAAAGCAAAATAGGATATGAAATTTAGTTTCTCCTTCATATTAACCACATTCCAAGTATCCAGGAGCCACAGACAATTGGTGGGTGCCACACTGAAGCTCAGGTATGAAGCCTCTTTAAAAGGTGCTAGAAGTTTCTGTTATGTGGCACTCTGGTGTGTTATTGTTGATAAATTAACTGTGAACCAGTTATTTCAATGTATCTCTTGGATTTTCCAAGAAAGCAGTTTTTCCTTTGTTTTTTAAATCGAGCTTGTGTTCTTTTTCTGAAACAGTATGAGGCCATCTTCCTTCCTATCACTGAAAGCAGAGCTGGCAATTATATGGCAGAAGGGCTTCCCTTCCCCACTTGCGTCTGTGGTAGTCATCGCTAATCAATCACCGCACTTCTGCTATTGAAACTTCTTTAGTGTTCTGTGCTTCTCCATGGAGACACGATATTAACTACAGTGAGGTGGAGAGAGGGGACTAAAGCCCCTCTCCGTGGTTTGGAGAACACATGTGGTTGGAGTTTGAGGTGTTGTGGAATATTAGCTAAAGATGTGTAGCATTATTTTATGCTGTGGAATATTTGTTTAATGATGGGAAGATGTGCTGCATTCTTTTATGTTGCATTTGCTTACCTCTGTAAATCTGTGTTACTTTGCCTGTCTAGAATACCTGATTGGTCTAATAAAGAGTGGAATGGCCAATAGCTAGGCAGGAGAAAGGATAGGAGGAGGCTGGCAGGTGGAGAGACTAAATAGGAGAGGAAGAAGGAAGAGAAGAAGGAGGAGGAGAGAAGGAGGAGAGGAGGATGCCAGGGGCCAGCTACCCAGCTACACAACCAGCCGCGTAGTAAGAAGGAAAGAAAGGAACATAGAATAGAGAAAGGTTCAGAGGCAAAAGGTAGTTGGGATAATTAGTTAAGAAAAGCTGGCTAGAAATAAGCCAAGCTAAGGCTAGGCGTTCATAAATAAGTTCCATGTATTTATTTGGGAGCCTGGTGGTGGGACCCCAAAGAGCAAACAGCTAAAGACATTGGGGTTGCTGAATGTCCCCTGAAAGGTACTGTCTGAACCCCAGATGGTTCTGGGGGAGGAGCCTTTCTGAGGTGTGGGCAGGCAGCTTCTTGAACTGTCTTGGTGGCATCCATGGGATCAGTTTTGGGGATCTTGGGATGAAATCTATAGGATAGGAAGGCAGATTTGGAATCCAGACTCAATCACAGAAAGCCCATGGAGGCCTGGACTGACTGTGGCAAAGGCTGTCTGGGTCCTGAAGTGGGATGAAATCTGTCCATTGTGTGATGCCTCAAAGGCAGCTCACACCGTTTTTGGGACTGCATGGGTAAAGGCTATCCTGGGATGGATGGGCATTGGTGAAGGGCGTGTTCCGAGGTATCCCACCTTTAGAACTCATCACTCAGTCTAACTGTACATCGCTAACTACTCACGTAGACAGATGCTTTGTCATGTTTACTGAGTGGGTCCAGGTGCTCACTTTGTGTTCAACACTGGCTCACACCATCTCACCTGTGGCTCACAGCCCCCCAGAGGAAAGTAACATCACTGCTTACCTCATCTGAGGGGTAAAAAAGCTGAGACTGAGGGAGTTTAGTTGCTTGCCTGGTGTGTCACGTGCATTATCCACCTGATTCTGTTCCGTACTTTGTGGTCTCTGGCTTGGCTTTGCTTAGTGTGGGAAGTGGGTTTTGGCAGATGAAATGTGTGCGCATAAACCCAGAGCCTGTCTTTAGAGTATTGTAAAGTAGGGGAAGCTGAACAGATCTAGATGCTGGGGCTGGAGAGAGACTGGGCTGGAGTCAGGCTCTGCCATTTGCTGACTGTGTGACCCTGAGTAAGTGATTTTCTTTGCTGAGGTTTTGTTTTTGGGTTTGTAAGCTACAGGATCCATGTGAGAACATCAATGTAAGAAAGGAAAGAAAGGTGACACATAGATCGAATGCATTGTTAATTGTAGAACACAAAAGCCCTAACTCTAGATGTGCTGCCTGGGTCCCCTGCCATGTCTTCCTGAAGCCTGGAATGTGCAGGCACACGGCCAGGTACCGCATCTGCTATGTGGCAGATGACACAGTGGAACCCTACTGCAGCACAGAGACAGGAAGGGGCGTGTCAGGGTGGGGGGACAACTCACCAAAGGAGATGTGGGAATCGTGGCTGGCAGGGGAGTCTTCAGGCTAAAGAGAGGGTGAAGCGAGGGGAGAAACAGGTGCCAGGAGGAACTCAGTGGAAGTCAGAGTGGCTCCGTGGTTCACTGAGCACTCACCGTGTCCAGTCCTGTGCCAGCTGTTAGCAAACCTCATTTCAATTACTTCTCCTACAAGGCTGGGGTCCAGTTACAATTTTATCTCCAGGTGAGGAATCAGAAGCCGAAACAGGTCAAGTGATTTGCCAAACAGGACCGAGGGGTGCACGTGGGGGGAGCAGAACACACCCCTCATCACCAGAGTGTAAAGAGAAAGGGAGGGGTGTGGGCCTACGATCCCAGTCTCACAGCCCCACTTACCTCCCAGTGGGGGCCGCTCTAGGTCCTGCGGGGATCCGTCTCCAAAGCAGAAGTACATGTGCATGCTGTGTACTACACCGCCTTGCTCCACACCGCCTGTGCTCAAGATCCCAGGTGTGGACTTGACTGTCTAGAGCAGTGGTTCTCAGTCTTCCTAATGCTGTGGCCTTTGGATGCAGTTCATCGTACTGTCTGTGGTGACCCCAAACATACAATTATTTTCACTGCTACTTCCTAACTGTAATTTTGCTACTGTCACGAGTCATAGTGTAAGTATCTGTGTTTTCCGTCGGTCTTAAGAAATCCCTGTGAAAGGGTCGTTGGAGCTCCAGCTGGTCATGACCCACAAGTTGAGAACCACTGGTCTAGAAGATTCCTCATCCCTACAAAGGGAGCATGAAAATGGGGGAGTTGTGGACAAAAAGGGCAGCAGATACTATGAGTGATATGTAGATGATGACATTGTGTTTCTCCTTCTATATCCTGGTGAAAGAAGAGGAAAGAAATGGCTGTCTCTCTGTGATGTTTAGCCCATAACTGTTTGGAGCTAGTGTGAGATGAAGAGGTGTTTATCGGCCAAGACTCTGGGTTCCCATAGTGGTTGTCCCAGATACTGGCTTTACTACAGTTATCATTGAGGCTCCAGGAGAACTTTGATTGGCAGGACTGTCTTTTCTAGAATTTGCCCCCTGCATCTGGTGCGTTTGGGGGTTAGCAAATCCCTTTTTCTGACTTGCAGGCTTAGTTGACCCACTGTGCTTTCTCTTGCTAGCTGCCTTCTGGGGAGACATTGCCCTGGAGGAGGAGGATCTGAAGTTATTTCACATCGACAAGACTGAAGACTGGACCAAGCCATCCGTGGAGGAAATGGGACACAGCACTGGCAAGTATTGGCCTCCTGATCAGCTTGTACCCCATTGGGTCCAGGGACCTGTGTGGAAGACCTGGAGGGAGGGGCCACACCACCTCCTATGATGGAGGCATGGATCTGGGACCTTAAACTTAGCTAATTCTCCACGCGCCCCCCCCGCACCCATGTGTGTGTGTATGTGTGTGTGTGTGTGTGTGTGTAAGCATGTACTCACTCATACTTGTGCACATGTGCATACAGGATCTTGTACAATTGTGTGTGCATGTGTGTGGAGGCCAGAGGTCAAGTGTCTCCCTCTCCCATTCTCTACCTTTTGTGGGGCACTCTCATCAATTTGGCTAGGCTGGCAGGTCAATGAGCTTTAGGAATCTGCCTCTCCCTGGACCTAGTCCCCAGCATTGGAGTTAGACATGTGCACTGCTTTTTAACACCAATGTTGAACATTCAAAATCAGGTCCTTATGGTGTACAGCAGGCACCTGATTAACTGAGCCATTGTCCTAGCCCAACTCAGCTGATCCTTGGAAGAAAATCTCCAGTTGCCTCTATTGGAAGGTTCAGCCCAGATCCCAGTGTTGGTTCTTAGGATTCTAGCTTGAGGTTTTGCTTGTTCCAGAATGGAGAGAATTGCTAAATGGGCTGGATTTAAATAATGTCTGACAATACTGACAACAATGATGACTAGCTTAAAATGAGTTGTTTAGCCATGGGGAACTGTCACTTGTTTTATTGACAACCAGGCAAGTCCCTGTGTTGTCTGGGACAGGAGACCTACCCAGTATGCTTTCTGTGGCTACTTTCTCTCCTCTCTCTCCTGGTTATCAACGGTGGGGTGACAAGTGGTGAGGCTGGTCCCCTGGGTGCTCCTCACCTCCTTGTGCACTGGGCCCTGTAGATTTGTAGCTTCCTGGTCCTTAGAGGTAGTGCAGGGGACTGAGTGTGGGTTTGGGTATCCTCATGTGTCAGGTGAACCTTTCCCCTACACAGCCTTCCTTCTCTTGAAGCTATTTTAATCCTCACCCTGGGTCAAGCTCAGTGCTGGTGAGAGACAAAGAAAACAGCCCAACCCTTTGCTTTAAGGAGAGCCTCTCTCCAGGCAGATGGATGTAGATCTGGTTCAGCTTTACTATCTCTAAAATAGGGGGGGAAACTAGGACTCATTCCAAAGAGTTTTCAAGGTCATTGCCAAAGACAGCAGGTTATCCTCAGTGCCTGGCATGTAAGAGCTCAAGAAATGTGATGATGTAGTTGGTGATGTCAGGAATATTCCTGAAGACCAGAGAGAGGAGGGTGAGATGTGTTCAGGGCTCCAAGGTTACATGAGGAAAATGAGCAGCTAGTGGGATTGGCTGCAAAGCTCTCCACAGGGGTTGGCAGATAAAGAGCCGATGTTGGCACCAGGTTGTGGAACCATTGTTAGTGGCTGGGGACTGGAAGGAGCCATTCGACTCGTCAGACTTCCTTAGTGGATCTTGCACATACGCTGTGATGGACTTCACACTATGGTGCTCATGTGGTACATTCCAGACCCCAAAGACTTCAATGTGTCCCCCATGGTCAGTGCTCATTCCGGTGCCATTACAATCTAACCCTGCCCTGTTTTGCCGGCGCAGTACAGACCCTGCGGGAATGTTATTCTGCCATTTTGGACTAGCCTTCACTATTGCAAAATTCACCCACATGGTTGACGGAACAGTTCATCCCTTTTCAGTGTTGTGAACTGTTCTGCTGCTCGGAGGGACCCTAGCTTAGCCGATACTTTTCTGTAGACAAACATTTGGGTAGCACAGGGTCTCTTGCTGTAATAAAGCTAATAGCAGAATAACCTATCATCTTAAGCACCCCTTATCCTGGGCAGATGCCTTGGGTGGAATGGCAGGGTCCAGGGTTTGAGTTGATACTGTCAAAACATCATTTTCAAATGTGATCATACCAGTTCATGCTTCAGGTTGAGCATGCTTAGAAAGCAGAGTGATACCCATGCAGTCTGCCATCAGCTTTGGATCTTGGGCTCCTTAACATGGGTCTCCTGCTGCCCTCTGGCCCACACAACAGGCCCATGGGTCGTGGGGAATTCTCAGAGTCGCAGCATCAGATGTCTTTCTGATGCTCCCAGGCACTTTGCATAGCATAGCCTGAGGGTTCCAGAAGAGCAAATGTGAGGGAAAGACTACAGAGAGCCTAGGCAGTGGCCAGACACCATACCATGTACAGCTGCTAGAGAGTCCCCTTCAGGGGTGGTCACCTGAGGACGCTGTGGTGAAGGAAAGACCAGTGGTCTGCTTTTCTCAAAACACTTACTCAGGGATGTGGGACTCGGGCATCTATCTTCTCTGTCCTTATCCTGTTAATAGAGAGCAGATCACATTCAGTCTGGGACTCCCCAGAGGCAGGCCAGCACCTGAACCTAGAAGATTCTGGCCAGTGTTGATGAGGACAAGAAGACAGTGCTATGGGAATTTGCAGACCCTGGCCTTTTTCAAGAAGTTAGATGTGCTAATAGGGTGTTGGTCCCAGAAATGTGCTATGACCACTGATCAGAATAACAGGTTTGGGCTTGCACTTCCTGGACTAAATCTTAGGCAGGCCTCAGTTTCTTTATCTGCCAAATGGGAATAGAAATAATTCTTGCCTTTGAGTGAGATCCTGAGCACACAGGAAAGAATGTATGAGATGTGTCTGGCACCTGATAAATGTTCAATAAATACCAACTCTTAATGTTTGTGAAGAGGAGACTGATGAAGGAAAGGATTGGAGCCGTGAAGACTGGGGAAGCTGCCACGTGTAGAAGGGTTTGGGGACCCCAAGCCTCTCAACATACCACTGATGCTCCCTCCTCTCTCAGCTTAGTGCAGGGGTTTCTCAGGGTGTTTTCGTGGCGAGGTGGCTTTTATTCCAATTGCTTTTCTCTGAGGGTCAACTGCACTTTGTATCTATCTAGAGCAGTTATTTTATTTTCAGGTTGGGATTTTTTTTATTGATTTTTCTGATTAAACTAACACTGCTTGATTTTTTTTTAAGTGCCAAGGCTTCCATAAGTGGAAAAGTAAAATGATGTTATCCCAGCCTCAGGGATCACTGACACTATCTATTTGCTGCATTACTTTCTATCTTGGTGTGCCATGGCCATGTGTGCAACCACACACACACACACACACACACACACACATGCATGCGCACGCACACACACACGCACACACACTCACATGCACACACTCAAACATGCGTGCACGCGCACACATACACACACCACTTACACTTTTTCCCACACACACATGCATGTGCGCACACACACACGCACACACACACTCACATGCACACACTCAAACATGCGTGCACGCGCACACATACACACACCACTTACACTTTTTCCCACACATATGCATGTGCGCACACACACGCACACACACTCACATGCACACACTCAAACATGCGCGCACGCACGCACATACACACACCACTTACACTTTTTCCCTTTTTTCTTTCCTTTTTTAAGTATAAATTTTTAATTTAAATTAGAGACAAGCTTGCTTCAGTCCCAGCTCCCTCTCCCTCCCCTCCTCCCTTGTACCTTTTCCCCTTTTAAATACAAAGATCTTACTGAAATGTGCTAGTGTAGTCTATATGTTTGGTAAAATCCCATCATGAATGCCCCTCACTCCATGCCAGTGGTTGTTATGACGACAAGGGCACTGGTTAGCGGCGCACAGGCGGTCCTGCTGCACCTCATCTCAGTAAGCCACACCTCATCTCAGTAAGCCACACCTCATCTCAGTAAGCCCTTATATATTTGAATGTGAAGGTTGTCTCACTTTTGATGTAATTTTTAAGTGAGAGATGATGTTTCTGGGAAGAAATTTATGCATAGGTCTTTAAGCATTTTCTGGGTTAAAAAATAAATTTAAGAGGAGCCACGCTGAGGTCACTTTTGCTAGATTGAAATATGGGGAAGGATGTGTTCTTCATTTCAGCTCACCTAGTTTCTGAGCTTTGACAAGTTCAGTTTCCTTTCTTGGAGGCTGAGAAGGGAGCTCCAGCATGAGAGGCTGAAGTCCCTGCACAGGGCGACAGGGAAAGGCTGTCACTGCAGAGCAGCCCCAGGCCACTCTCCCTGGTTTTCCCTGTGAAGTTGGAGCTATAGAACAATGTCAGTTGCTTCTAAGGTGGACCGGTCAGTCTCTTTGCCTAGAGGTGCCCTGGGGTGCTTGATTCTGAGTTCACTCAGGGGCGGCATCCCTACCAGAGCTTAGGTGTCCCAACCCCAGCCTTTCCGCATCCTTCCCTGACCTCCCCGTTGCCATTTTACACCTGGGAGGAGTGGAGAACAGTTTGGGAGGGAGAATAATGAGCACCATGCTCTTGTTTAGGAGCCTATTTGGTGTTCTTTGGGGGCCCTGTGGTTCCCATAGGGACTTGTGTCACTGTTCACTTAAGTCACAACTCTCTCTGTCCTTAACCTGCTTCAGGTTACCTTCCTGGTCACTGTACTATGTTATGCTTTATGGAATAGTGTTCCCCCATTCATGTCTACTGGGACCCCAGAAAGTGACCCATAGGATAGGGACTTTGCAGATGTAGTTAGTGAAGGATCTTGAGATAAGATCCTCCTTGGTTTAGACTGGACCCTAAATCCAGTGTCCCGGTCTTCACAAGAGGAGGAAAGGACACGGGGACACTGAGAAGGGTATGCAAAGATGGAGGCGGACTCCAGGGGGATGGATGCTGCCACAAGCCAAACACAGCTCTGCTCCTTAGACCCCTTCGGATGTTCCCATTGCTTATTCTAGTGCTTCCTTAGTCCGGCTTCCAATTCACAGTCTACAGAGACAGGCTCCCTTCCCCTCCTGTCCTCTGTCCAACTGCAATGACATCGTGTCTGTCCACACCCTGAGCTTCCTTCCGTCCAGTCTTCTGTTCCAGCGACTCACTCTGCTCTAAGTCCCCATTCTACAGACACAGAAATAAAGACCAGAGAAAGCTGGTGACTCACCCTTAGCTCTGCAGCTGGGGGCC